AGAAAGAAAGAAAATCAAACAAGAAGAGGGAAAACGAAGAAGAAAAGAGAAAGAAAGAAAGAAGGAAAGGAGAAGAAAAAGACTAAGAGATTTTCTAGGAAACTTGAATCAAGTAAGTAGGGATTTATTCTACACCATAAATTCAAATTTCTAAGTGTTTGATTTATGTGAATTCCTTGAGTTGATGATTATGCTTTTATGGGTTGCTTATGTTGATATTGTGAGTGTTGATGGCTTGATATGAGTTTATTGGTTTATCTTGGGTATTTGATGATTTATTGATATGCTCACTCGTTAAAGTTTATAAAGCTTTGTTGTATGCCTAAATATTTGTTTTTGGGTTAGGTAGTGAATAATTATTGATGTGGATATGGGAGGAATAAATCCGAAACGGTAGATGATGGATGATGGGTTCCTAGGGTTCCTTAATGGGTACTATTCGGCCTAATTGCTTAAATTGGGGATTTTGATGCTTTCATATAATTGATGTTCTAGAGCTTAATTATTACTTAATTAATTCTGAATTAGTATTTAGGAATGAAAAAATTTATTTTAATTGAAGAAAAATCCACGCAAATCCTATGGTATATTCGACCTAAACTTTGATTTTTAGGCTTTGAGTTTCACTCATCCGAATCTAGAATTGTTGGTTTAATTGTACTTGAGCAAGTATAATTTGAAGTGTTGAAAGGTAAATTGTCAAGAAAATTGAAGAAAATGGCTCAAATTAGTTAAAAGCTAAATTTGGCCATTAAGGCCAAATTCGGGTTAGAGCAAGAAATTACACCTTAAATGTTTAGTCAATTGGTCCCAATGATTGATGTGTATGTAAGCTAAGTGTATCAAAATTAGAGGATGAAATCAAGGATATTACTTATTAATTATATGAAGAGAAGATACTTATTAAAGGAGTGAATTATATTGATTGATTAATTATATCTGGTGGTAATTGATTTCCTTAAATAAAATATTTATGTAAGGCATGTGAGGCATATAGGTGTTTCTATATGTGGGTTGAATTTCGGGAATGGTTCAAGAATGTAGGGTTTGGTACCCATAACTTGACAAATATGGTAAATGAAACATCATCATGCATCACATGCATTTATGGGTAGATTGAAAAGTCGGATGGCCGAGAATCGAAAAGGTTTGGGAACCGAATCGGATTAAATGGATATTAGCAATGAAGCTATGTGCATGCTCTATTACTTAATTACACCATTAGGTGATGGATAATTTCGCTAATCTCGTGCTACAACCATGGATAATTTTGTTGTTAGCAATAGGGGATAAGGAAATCATCGAGAGATGGAAATGGAGTGGACTTGCTAATACCTAAGGTACCTAAAATAAAATCAATGGATGAATTTAGGGTAGTAAGAAATCATTGTATATCACGTGCATCACCCCTACTTACTAAGCGTTGGCTCATATTGTTGTTGTTATTCCGTGGTATAATAGATAGAGACAAAGATAGTTCTATCGAGGAAGTCGTCAGTTCTCACTAAAAGGGGTTATGTGCTACCCAAAATTATAGGAATCTTTTAAAGGGTTATAAATAAGTGATATTGTTCTCCTATTTGTGGGTAGTCGACATCGTAGAGATTTTATAATCCCTATGATCGTAATTATTAATACCACATAAATTTCATTGTATGTATTCCACTACTTACTATTTTATTAATTTAGGTTATGTATTATAGGGAACTAGTCGGGATTTTAGGCTTACTAATGTAATGAACCTAGTTGCTCATATTTGGAAATAGTAAGTGAGTTAGGGGTGTTACATACCTAGTCGATCACTTTATGCACAAGATAGTTGGCAACATGTATTGATAGGAATGTATAACCATATAGTTTATTACAAGGTAACAATATATCGGACCATTTCTATGACAATTGGATAGTGATATCAATAGTAGTATTGGGTGTATAAGGTATGGAGACTATTAGGACACTTGGAAAAAGGCATAATAGTTGTTTAGTCTTTTGAATATTATATAAACTCTCAATATTATGAATTATTAAAGTAATGTAGTGAGTTTACCTATCGCCTCAATCCTAATAACCATTTTTCTAATGGCCTTAGAGATGTTATATAATATCACAACGTAGGGAATATATAATAGATAAATACATACATTGGAAACAAATGGTATAATATGGTCAAATATATTATAGCCCTAATGATCTTATGTTTGTCCCCCCATAGTAGAATAGAGGGTACCTTATTGATGGAATAACCATAGGTAGTTCTATATAAAATCCTCGAGGCCACCTATGATAGTTTACTAATCATTATACACTTGTGGATAATTATACTTATACTAGTAATCATCAAATGTTGATAGTATTAACCTAATATGGTTGAGATAGTTGGCAAATATCATTATAGTTAGATAATACTTATTTTAATTTTATCTAGATTAAATTGTCTACTCGGAATGTTTACTATCTATATTAGTAATATAATTAAATTGATCCTATATATAGACTTGTAATAGTGATGTTAATAGCCTGTTATGATGGGGGCACTATATTAGGTGACTAACCAATTAGTTAATGTTTAGTATGGTAAGACCATTGACTTTACTCTAAAATCACTCCTTTAGAAATATAAGGGAATATTCAAATACTAACTGATTATCTCTTTAGGCAACCCTTATGTCGATTAGGCTTGGTCTTTATAATATCCTCCGTTCAATTACCTTAACGGTTGATATACATGTAAACTTATAGTATTATTATAGTTATAGAGAATAATTCATGGAATATAGGCCCTCCATTCAAAATGATGGTCCGCCTATAAAGGCATGCCATAATCAAATGCCTTATATGGTTAAATATTATATCGGAGAATCCAAACTAAATTTAAGATAACCTATGTATAGGATATTAGGCATTATGATCGGAATATCACCTCCCGTTTTATTTTATTATGATGTTTATATCATAATATATCTACTATATATTTTTCTTTAACTATAGTTAACCCTATCCTCCGAATAGGGTTAATTATATAGATATTCCACGATGGAGTTTGCGTTCGACTAATTTACCTAACCAATGGTCATTAGTTTTTAGATGGCTTCAATAAACCTATTCAAGATACAAGGGTTGTTACACGTTGGAGCATCTTTTTTAGGAGGGGTGCTTAGGATGTTACCCACCCTCTATCAATGAATGAGTAAAATATGGATTAACTTGATGGCCTAGTGATGTTCGACTTAGATATTTATCCTATTTCATTAGCAATTTCTATAATTGGATTATAACTATAGTAGGTAATATCCTATTTTTACTACTTATCAAATGAATACTCCAAAGTGAAAAATTGATGATCTTTGTATAGTTACTAAATACCTTTCTTCCTAACATAGGGAGATACCTTATAAATATCCTTTGTCCTAATAAATTCACAAATATAGGATATAACGGTTAGATATTCACTATCTCTTCCTTATATTATCTAATTAGTACATTGTCCAATGTAATTGGATAACATAGCCCAAGTTATTAATATTTAGGAATGGATTAACAATACCAATATAGTAATTTATTAAGATATTGTTAACCATTAGGATGGGAGGTATGATAGGAAGATATTATATCGGAGAAGCCTCATTATAGATATTGATATAGGTCCCGAATTAAATAGGCTATAATAAACCATACATTATAAATTCTTGATGTTCAATAATTTTTGATAAAGTACTCGTATAGAATGGTATTCCATGGTTAATAGTGTTATCTCCATATGATATATTTATTATTGCAAATTTAATATTCCCCTCACATTAGTCCTTTAATTTATAATCTTTTTTTATAGGTCGATAGTTGGAGGTTTGCATATACACCATAAAGGCGGATGATATTTCTATGCACTTTGGATATTAATATTCTATCAAGATTGCTTATTGGGGTCCTTTAGCATAATTATTATATCGTAAAAGAGTGTATATACACCCTCAATATGGGTAAGGATTACCTTTGATACATCAAATCTATATATCAACATGGTTCCTTATGAATACAGTTTAACCTCGTCATGTCCATCATTGATCTAGAGAGTTGAGTTTAAGATGGCGATATGGACTAGGCACTTTGATGGCTCGATATTAGTAGGCCAACTAGAGTATACCCTAAGTTCCCATAATACCTCTAAAGGAATATTAATAGCCAAGTGGGATATTATTGAGTTCGGTAATAGGCCTTATATAATAGTTACCGATACACCTTAATATTTATATCATTGATGTTATCACAATGATTCATATACCAATCAAGAGTAATTACTATATAGGGTATGCCTCCATTCGAAATCTTACCACAAAGGTTGATACTCTATTACTAAATTGGATAATTAGCATCTCGAGCATATATGATATCCATTCTTGACAATGCTATAACCATAAAATAATCATATATCCTCATGACTTATTATATCATGAGGAGAAACTCTATATAAACTATTTGGAATAACCATAATAGGTATAAGAAAATCCCTTCCTCAATTAAAATAAATGATATATTTATTTAGACAACCTTAACATCACCAAAATCTCACCTCACCATGTGATATTATCATAAGGGAATATTTACAAACTTATATATGCAGAAATGAGTGTAATTATTTAGGCATACTACCTCATTCTCTCCTTACAATGTCCCTACAATTACGGGCACCATGACCATCACTCCCTCTCTCTACCACTCTATCTCTCTACCTCTCTCTCACTCCTACTCTCTCCCCCTAACAATTAGATGCTAACATGCCCTTAGTAATCCTTACTTGAATTTATGTTGCTTGTAAATTCCAAAGATAAAAAATGCATAGGTGATTTTATGTAAGGAGGGATGATAGGTAGATTAACCTATTCAATCTTCCATCACTAATGTTGTCCAAGGACTAATTTTATTATCAATTAAATATTATTTTACTAAATATTATCAAAGATATGGTGGGAGAGAGAGGGAAAGGGAGAGATGGTCAATATTACCTATATATGGGATCATGCCTGGAATCTATATGGTTTTTAGTGTTGTAAATTCTATTTCCCTTTCTCGCCCTCGAGAGAACAACCTCTAACCTAAGTATATATATTTAACTTCAATTAATTGGAATGTAGGGATTTCATCGTATATGGAAGTCCATATATAGTAAATATATAGAGAATAAGTTGTTCCCTTTTAAAAGGTGTAAAAGAGACCATGCCTAATTACTTAATTATTCCCAATGTCTAGAATGAACACTCACCATCTCTTTGTCTTGTGGGGAAATCAAGACGTTTAATGATATCGTTTATTAATCGCATTATGATTATCAATAACTAGGAAATATTGATATCGGGGGCTCTATTTAATCCCCGATAATTATTTTTATAAACTAAATATTACTCTTGAGTCATATAGAAAAAGTAATGAACCAACTTAAGATTAATTCCCACTCATAATAGTTACCGCTAATGTTATAACGAGTATAATAGAAACTCAAGAGATAGAGATAGAGATAATTTACAACCAAGCAAGAATGAACCCCCTTTTTATAAAAGTATGATAAATTATGCCAACCCTTTGTGGATAACATCACTTGGATCAATTAAATAAACAAATTTTTAGGATTTGAGGGGCTTATATTTAACCCTTTAAGAGATAAATAATATTTTATATATCTAAGGGATCGTAAAAATAGATTGTATTGAGGGGATATTTACCCAAGGATAGGTTATTAACTATCTTTCCTAATAAGAGGGGAGAAGGGAGATGGATATTATTAGAGGCCACTATTAGATCTTAATTTGTGAGATCATAATAGTTATACTCCCGATACTTTAGTTCAGGGCATGGTGGTCACCTATTTAAAGAAAGAAGCCCTATAATAATTTCGGTGATATAATTAGAGGGAGAGAGAGAGAGAGAAATCAATATTATTATTGATATGATAATGGAAGGGACACCTTCCAATATATTCATTGGGTGATTAAAATATTTAACCTCCAAAAGATACCAAAATGAACCCTCCTATTATCTATCCCTATGCATGAAATAAAGATGATATTTATCCTAATATTATTGCTAATTAAGAGATAGGGATTGAGGCATAGTAAGAAATGGAATAGATAATCTCATCTTTCTCGATAATAATATCCTTGGTATTTGATTGTATAGAATACATTGGTATAACCAATCTCAAACTTGGTTATAAGGTTTATTCGAGTATTCCGTCAACAATCTTCACCTCTCCCTCTATCTAATGGACCAATATTTCTCCTCTCTTCCCTAGCTATAAAGGAATAATCTTGGTTAATAGATTATTAATAACAAACACCATTAATAAAGAGGAAGTAATATAGGATATGCGAATGAGAGGCTATTATTGGGTACTTGGTTAATAGATTGGTTGATCATGGGATATTACCAAAAAGAGTGACAACTTGTTCATGATAACTTTTATTTATATTTAATAAAAGTATCATACTATCTCACTATATTTTTGGAGTATATTAACTATATAGTAAGGAGAATGACCTGGTTAATATTGATATAGAGTTGTCAATATTAATAGACCGTTATTCCCCTTTAGGTAAGGATACCTTACTCTCAAAATTATCTTCAAAATAAGGGTACATGGGAGGACCATATTAGTTTGGGCCTATATCGACCTTACTAAATGATATCCTTAGATAATTGTAAACCATTATTGGGATGGTGTATCCCATAATATAGGTTTATCTCCTAGGATATTTAAGGCCGACCTCCAAGAGAAAACTCTAAAGAGAGAGAGGGACCCCTCTTTCTCTCTCTTCCATCTTACCATTATTCCTAATGAAATAGGGCAAGTTCAAGAGGACATAAAGGATGTCAAAAAAGTACTCCTGATATAATTTAAGGGATTTAAGTCATGGATATATTCCTTACATATGACAACTATAAATATATAGTTGAGAAAGTGCACTAATGTTACTTATATTTCATAATTACCTATAATTTATCATCCATCCTTGTTAGATCCTATTGGACCCTCTCTTTATATTAAGAGAATAGCTCTTTTAGTTTAAGAAGACAGACTAGACACATATTGAGATAAAAGGTACACATGTAGGCTTGCACTTAAAGTGGATATAATCTATTTTATCATTTATCAAATTAGATTGACAATATAGTCTATCTCTTAACATTTGCACGTCCACATATATTATGAAACATTTGAATTTTTCCTTTCCCTCCACATATGCATTATAGATAGGGTTTGGTATATTATAATTGATAGGGTAGCCCACCAATATTGAAAATATTATCAATCTATTTATTATCATACATATATTCCATGTAGGCTAATAATGAATATAGCCATTAGTGCAATTAACATTTGTATTAAATATGTGTCAATATTTATAAACACCATAGTGATATATTAGTGTATTAAGTTGATAGGAGTACCATGAAAAATAATCCTTGATACTAATATATCATAGTCAAAGAATTATTGTAGATGGTCAAATGCAGATCTAAATCCTAGTATGGCATTGGTATGATCAAGCTCAATTTAAAATATTGGATCAGTCCAATCAACAAGCTAGTGATTATAATAATGCCTATAAGCATATTAATAGAAGAGGCTATAACCCCTATATATATTACTAAGGTGAATCTCTCTAGAGGACTTGATTATTGATAAATAATATAGAATAGCATATAGAGAGAGTGACCTCTATATATGGGAGACAGAGAAATATAGTTTCCAAAATTTCACACTAAATCTTTTGATGCATAGTATTTGAAACTATGGATAGAGTGATTAAGGCATGCCAGGTTGTGTTTGGGTGTATATTTAGGGAGAGATGAGAGGAAGTGGGAAAATTTAAGGGACGATGAATTATGGAGCTAGTTGGAGGAATATTCATCCCATCACCCAAATCAATCAAACTAGGTCTCAACAATAGCTTAGGGGAAATATAATTACTTCACTTATGCGCAATTCTCCCAAATTTCCATTTCCTACTCGCTAGTATGGGATATAAGCAATCTCAAACTTGGTTATAAAGTTTATTCTAAGTATTTTGTCATCTTCACCTCTCCCTCTATCTAGTGGACCAATCTTTCTCCTTTCTTCCCTAGTTATAAAGGAATAATATTAACAAGGAGACGTAGAAAATTTATGATAGTATATTTTTAGGATAGTTAACGTGATTGATATTAGTTTATTTATGAAATATCAGTATAGATAAGGAGGGAGGGGAGAAAGAATGGTCCCAAAGAAATCAAATATGTTGTACATTATCCTCTAATATTAATATTAGGAGTGATTATATAACGCCCTTATAGTTTCTAGTGATCTAATAATTAGGTTAGAGTAAGAAGATAATATTTATGATAAGCGAGTAGAGAGTGGTTATGTTACTCACTATAGTCTTTGCCCTAACTCGTTTCTATAGATAATTACATCAAATATTGGACATTTATTCTTATCTATCGACCCATCAATTTAAGTGATATGATGTGCCAATTCCTCTTTGAAAAATATAAGGGCGTTATATAATCACTCCTAATATTAAAATTAAAGGATAATATACAACATATTTGGACATTTATTCTTATAGTTTCTATAGATAATATAGTCTTTGCCCCAACTATTTCTATAGATAATTACATCAAATATTGGACATTTATTCTTATCTATTGACCCATCAAATTAAGTGATATGATACGCCAATTCCTCTTTGAAAAATATAAGGGCGTTATATAATCACTCCTAATATTAAAATTAAAGGATAATCTACAACATATTTGATTGGTTAATCACGATCATAAGAAACTATCATTTAGCATAAACGAGTTCCACCCTACTTAGGTCAAATAAGAGAGGGAGGAAGTAAGGTTAGCTTCTATTCTCATTTGATAGATAATCAAAGAGTAAATATCCAAGTTATTAAAATTCAATGATAATAATTACTTGCTTTAAATTAACTAATTAGTCATTTCCTATTGCAAAGCTATTGTCATTGAATTTTGAAATATAGTTCATAACTAACTAGGTCCAAACTATGATAGTCTTAATAGGTACTATCAAAATAAGAGATGAAAATAAGATCTTTAATCTCTCCTAAAATAATAATGATTGAGTCTTAGCACAATCCTACATGATAGTGCTAGCTCATAAATACCAACATCTAATAGTCGAACTCTTGATCCATTGTAGTCATGTAGATATTTTCTCTTGAAGTTATCTTCCCGGCCATTCCAAAAATTAGGTCATCCCGTTAATTCATCCGATTATAAAGAATAATATTGTCCATATTTAACGGATAGTTTTGACCAATAAATATAAGCCAAAGAGAGTAGAATTAATTCCTAGTAACCAATAAATATGAGCCGAAGGGATTAGAATTAATCCACGGTAACCAATAAATATGAACTAAAGGGATTAGAATTAATCCCCGGTACGTGGTTTGACTCGGTCTCCCTCCTTCCTTCATCTTGTATGAACAGTTATCTCTAAATATCATCCCCCTTGAAATTAAGTAACTAGTATGGTAACATTTCTATTTTTGGTAATCACACAATAGTAACATGGCCATCACTATAAAAGGCTCTCCGAGTGGACCAAATTTATAACTTTTATTGGGGGAGAGGGAGAGATAGGGATGGAGGCAATTGATAAACTTTTACTAGTGGGCAAGTAAATGGAACCAAGTAGTATTGGTCTTGATATAGACTCGATGTATATGTTAACACCCATGACATGTGAGTGGAGACCATTATTGGGTTAATTTTATGGATATTGGGCATATTTGTCATATCAATGCGGAATTAACTTCATAGTCTTGAGAAATCTAGATGTAATTAACCTAAACGAATAGGAGTGATTAGCAAGAGAGAATTTTACCAAGTATTATTATACCCATAGAGAGAGGATGGTGGTGTACTAAATAGAGAGAAACTTTGTCCAATTACAAAAAATAATGACTATTCACTAGCTTATGGTAAGAACTCTAGATCCAATATACACATAGGAGTACACCATATGCCTATATCCCTCTTGGTTGATTAACCATTGGATTGTGTTATTTTCCATTCATGACTAATATGATAAGACCTCTCTTTCTCCCTCCCTTCCCTCTATTCGAGGTTGGGGGAGAGAAAGAGAGGAGGAAAGGAGAGAGTGAGCACTACAAAAGGTTATTCTTAAGACTATTGAGTAATCGTACTATATGTGCATGTAAGGGATAAAGGGAAGGGAGGGAGAAAGGGAGGGGGAGAATTTTTTCAATTGTGTTCTATTGGCTCACTATATATTTTGGAAGAGGGAGAGAGAGGACCATAAAATAGAGAGGTTTACACTTAAGAACATAGATCAAATGAGGTAATGGTAAATATATATATAATTAGAGGTTTATTTGGGACAATATTGATTCTCTAAATACTACAATTAGCTCTATGAGTATACTAAAAGATTGGGGATTAGTTATAGCTAATTATAGGAGAGAGAAGGGAAAAACAACTTGTAATATGAAAACACAATAGTACCGAATCTTATTGAGTCTACTTATTTTATATACCCTAATTATTGCTGAATATTTTAATCATCGTAAACCATAGATTAAGGAGTAACATTTTGTCGAACAAGTCAATGATACAAACATAATTTTTCAAAATGTCGCACACCCAAGTCATCTATAATATTATCATATTTAACTACTTAATAATTCCATGATTGTATCACAAAAATATTAATATGTGAGAGTAAGATTAATATATGGGCTCTAGATTATAATTGATATGATCACCTTATAGGGTAAAAGAGAGCAAATAGGGCCAAGGATTATTCGGACACCAATATTAAATACGATCATATCTTATTAACCATCCTTGATGAAATTAAGTATGGGATTAATTTACCTAATACCTTATATTATGCAAATGATTAATCACTAGTATAAGCACTAATAATACTAATGGATGCTATTAATGGAGGCATATACCTACCAGATTATTTTATAATAGAAACAATTAGGGTTAGGACCGGATAGGAGGGAAAGATAGAGTAATCTAAGTATCATAGTCCCTTTTGTGCTTCTTTGTGTGTCCCTTTTGTGCTTCTTTGTGTGTTATAAGATTATGTATAAAATCTCCGGAGGCGGACGAGGTTTGGCCATATCATCTCCCTAGATAATTGGCATTTGATAATCTTGGATAATCAATAGATCAATATATTTTAATAAGAGCTCTTTCTCAATCTCATCATGCCTCCTATTAATCATGAATTTAGGTTTAGGTAGAATTATCCAAACCCTAATGATTAACCTTAAATAGAGGCCTTTATGAAAACCAACGCAAATGCCAATTTACTCTCCCTCTGTCTCTCCATTTAACAATGTGTTATTTAACTACTATTAAAATATATTGTACACTCTCTCTCTATCCACTCTCTCTCTATTGATTAATATGCCCTATTGATTAATATGAGGCATGATGCCCATTGTTTTTTTAGGATGATGCGGACCAATGAGCTTTGGATAGTATTTAAAGATTATCTATATTAGCCTATTAAAATATATACCTAAGATAGGATAGGACTAGCTTAATATACAAGGCATGTCTAACTAATTTATTTTTCATTTAGATTACTATTGTACCAGACATGTAATAACCTTCTATATTACTATGATAATGATGCAGGTGGCTAGACAAGTTTATACCCTACTTGGTTATTGATAGATAATATTATGACATTATAGATAATAATAGAATTACTTGTTTATTGATTGATAATATTATGATATTATAGATAATAATAGAATTTTTTACTTTCATATGATAAAAAGGTTATTATACTATTAATTTATCCATTGGTATAAACTTGATGTAGCCTACTATATATAATCACTCCGTATGATATATTAGTATCGAATTTGAGCTATATCACTCTCAATCTTTGTAGAACTATGATAGGTTAATAATCATATTTCAAGTTAATTTCCCACCTAAAGTTATCTAAATTCTGGATTAGATACTATGGGCGTTGAAAATATACTAACCATTATGTAATTGGGAGAGTGATTATCTATTTTTAAGGTCAAATTCGATTAAGTGAGAATAAATATTAAGGTAGGGATGTTAGTATATAAGGTAACATATCCAAGGCTACTTTTACACAGTTCCTCGCAAAATCTATATTTTATATACTTATTAGAGGTAGACTTAATCATCCATAATTTCCCTCCATAGAAATATTTATATTGAGTCATTAACTCCTCTCTTTAGACTATTCTCATGGAGGTCAGCCTTAAATATCCTAAGAGATAAACCTGTATTATGGGATGCACCATCCTAATAATGGTGTACAATTAACTAAAGATATCATTTCAGTAAGGTCAGTATAGGCTGATGGAGCTATAGATTAGGATTTATTAAGTGGGAGAAAGAGGAATACCATGTCTCTTATAATATAGATGGGGGCCATTCTCCCCTTGTCACGTTTGTTTTCTTATAGTTTTAGTTTTTTAATGTAAATAATATAATTGATTCCTAAAGGATAAAACCATAATTTTAGGATAATGGAGAGAGGGGGACTATTAGTCATATCAGTTATATAAACAAGTGGTCATTATATGTTTCTCTTTTTTAGATTATAAATTTATTTGGGCAATTTGTGGGCTATTCCCTTTCCCTACTAGGATCTCAATATTCCAAGTGATTTGTTGTAATAAATTAGGCCTGAAAGAGGAATTGGCACTATCATATCACTTATGATATTAAGTTGGTGCCTACACTATCTTTCACTCCTTATCATTACCAGTAATAGGAGTAATGATATCATGATTTCAAGGGAAATCAACCTGGCTTAACTCTATTTTAGACTAATATATGTATCACGATATAATCTCTTTTTATATTGTCAATCTAGTGATATGTTAGTAAAAATGTTAACAAGGATATATTGATAAACTTATTCTTTCATAATAGGATATTCCTCTCAATTAGCTATAATTATGATCAATAATTATACAATTCTCTCCCTCTCCCCTTATTTCCAGGAGATGACTGACATATAATAGGCCTATAGTTAGATTATATTATTCCTAACCTTATATATTGGAATGTCAATCATGGGATATTAACAAGTCTCTATAGCACTTTAACCGTCCTATGGTTTTATAGAGGGTTTTTCCCATTCAGACCATATGGCCGAAGAAGGAGATAACCATTTAATGGTTTCTTATTAGAGATTACTAAGATATTTACATTAATACAATGGACCATGAAAAATATTATTAGCAATTAGAGACTTAAACCTCTCTTATAGTTTAATGATCAAGGCAATTAAATTAACTATCTCGATATAGATAAAAGCATGGTTACCATAAAATTTGACCCTCTATAAGATCATATAAATGGAAATAGAGGGAATAATTATCTATATTCATAATATCTTTCCAATTTGTTTAATATTTACCAAGGACAATCCCACGACATCACTAACCTTATGGGAATAATCCTACAATGATAACTTTCTTTCTAGAATTCAATTAAATCTATGTTAATCCACCATTCAAGAATAAGTCTATAGTACCATCGATAACTATGATCGTTAGCCATATCTTAATGGCTAATCCTTGGAAGTTAATATGGAGAGTGGCCTTACGTTATCATAGATATTTGAACGAGTCCCTACCATTCAATTAATAGGTGGGACTAGAAGATTATTGAGGTTATCAAATTACCCTATTTTTTCAAAGGTAATCATCCATTGGTTTCAATGCCATCTTCCCCTCAATTTCTAGAATATATGGAATTAGAGAGGAGATTTATCATTAATTAATCCACCATAAATTAAGTACAAATATAGAGGTTACGAATAAATTAATACATCTCCTTAAGTAAAAATGTAAATTACTTAAACCATTAGGTATCTTGTTAAATGATATCCTTAGAGATTTTACTGGTGGGCCATGAAGTAAATCTTGATTTTACCTACCAAAACTATCCCTCTTAGTCCCTCTATTTTGGGTATTTCGTGCATCTTTAGTTTGTTAACCCTAAAGATGATTGACTATAAACGGGTTCTCACCAAAATATTGGATAACATGATAATCTTAGCATAGATAGGACAAAATGAGGGGAGGTTACCATGCCGATTGGACGAACATTGGTAAAATATTAGATGGTACCTTTATAGAGTATAATTTTATGCAATTTTAAAATAACTAGATGAATGGTCTTTATATTAATAGTTATGGAGAGTCTATTACGCGAAACATTTGATTTTACACAACAAGTAATGAGAGATATTCGGGGATGATTATAATATCTATTCTTATAAGTATTAATAGTTATTGGAATATTAATAACGAGGTATTATAAACTATTACCCTCTAATAGATCAATAATGGCCATGCTTGATTATTTTTAATAGATTAACATATAAGAATGTATAAAGGATTAATCCAATGGTATCTTTTCAAACCAGACCAATTGGGAGAGAGGGAGAGAGAGAGGGAAAAACTAACATGAAAGATATTAATAAATAGGGAGAGGGAAAGTGAGGTTAAAATGTCTTTCCTTATTATTAAGTCCAATAAGAGAATATATCAAGTCTATCATAAGTGCTAAATCAAAAGGTTTATGCCATGAAGATAAAGGGTCAATTGATCACGTTAGTTTTTCGAGATCAATTGACCCCCTTTATCTTTATGTTAATGAACGATACGTGGAGAAATTAATTTAGACATTGTCACTAAATCTTTCCATGTAATAGGGTATTTAGACGCTTGATCAATATCCTAAAATATATTCCCTAAATTGATCATTTGAAGAATGAGGGTATATCTAGTGGAATAAGTCTTTTTGGACCTTTTGCTTTGGATTTCAATTTTTATCACACTTATACAATTTCATGAATTCTAAAAATTTAGGGAGATTAGCCTAGTCGGTGCATTATTCCCTTGGGAATATGGACAATTATAGTAGAGGCCTCATTTGACCAAGTTTATAAAATGGTATTTAATAACTTGAGATCAAACTATGATATATTATGGTCATTTATTATTACAACTTTTAATTATTCATCCACCATAATTTAGTCTAATATTGCCTCCTAGCATTTGTAAATACAAGGCATTTTAGCACATTCCTAGTTTGGGTTAAAATATGTTAGTGGTAACCCCGATGAATTATTTATTTGGTTATCCTTACCAATAACCGGCCAAGACTAGGTAATAACTCCCCATGAGAATTTGTCTAGTATTCTTGCACATAATATTAAACCAATGATTGTTCCATATTATAATACATTTGGAATCGAGTAATCGTTCATGAACTTCGATAGAAATTGAAAAATAGTCTTATATTGTTTTTAAACTCCAATAATGGTTCCATATGAGCTCGAAGCAAGTAACGAGGATGGTGCATCCATAATTGTACCAAGTTGATAAAAATTAGAGAACCATTCGTCCAAAGGACTAGTTAACGTAGCACATAGGCCTATATAATATCTATATTATAAGCAACGTATTAAGGTCATTTTTGGAGTATACACCGGAGGATATTTAGTTTGGGCTTAGAATGGTTCCTCTATAATTAGAGTACCCATTGGAGATATAATCATTGTCTCCATCTTAGGGATTGACAGGGTACGTGATAAACCATTAACTATCCTAATTGAGTCTTCATATTTGTATGAAAAGAATAGGACTATTATTGTATAGTAGGAGATTGTATCAAATAGTACCCGAGTACCCGAGCTCATAGGGAATAAGGAACTAAACAATAAGTTCCGGAGGGTTCTCATGCATTAAAAAGGTGTCTATGGATATCATGTACCCTATCGATAGGGCCAATGAATATAGCAGGGAGAAAAGGTCTCTAATATTCCATCTAACCTAAGGTTGAATAAGGTGATTATTAAGTGGTGTACATGGTTGGCTAATATTCAATTGTCCATATTTATATTATTTAATCTTTTAATTTTATAAGATATCTCTATAATTTGTGTGTCAATATGGTTTAACCTAATAATTTAAATAAGTTTAATTGAGCAAAAAATAAATTTACTAATTAACACTCGTTATGTTATTTATTGTTCTCTCAATATAATAGCCTTATCATCACCCTATTCAACCTTAGTTTAGCCTAATTAATTCCAACCTAGGCCCTTGATCTATCTTTCAAGTGTAATAAGCTTAATCTATTCATTCTCCTAGATAGACCTCAACCCTTATATTCCCTAGGCATGATACTCATATTCCCTAGGCATGATAGGATCAAATATCACACATTTGGTTAACTTAAAAGTCCAATGTGTCTTGCTAATTGTGTATAGACCTTACTAATTGGTACAAGAATTAGAATTAGTGCCACATAGTGTATAAGATAGTCATGGACACACTGGAAAGACACCTTTTATCTTAATAGTGGTAATTACTAAGATATTTCGTCTATAATATTTAATTATTAACTAGTATTTTGATATTATTACTAAGTTAATATACTTACCATATATGTCTCTCACTCCTATTATACTTACTAACCACAACAATATTAGCATACAAAATAACGTAGAAAAGACAATTGTAAAGACATAATGATTAAATTTATTAATCGGTGGGGATATAATGTGATTAACCATCATATTTCAATGATGAGGAGATACTATTTTTACTATTACGTTCATAATATTGCCAATATACTTAGGGATAGTATAGAATGTAAATAAGGGTAATCATTTCCAATATGATAATCCCCTATGTCTTATACTCCATAGCATTTCACTACCCAATATCCAATGCCTTTAGTATACTTGGTCAACATTACGGGAGTATTACTAATTCATGGATGTTCCCCATTAATTATGCTGATAAGGTTACTCAATAAGCATATTCGACCTCATATCTATTCCAAAGAAATTTGTCGCAACCAATAACTTAGGAGATTATAAGGTATAATGAAATAGAGATTAGTTATAGTATTAACCATCAATATTCAACCATGAGTCCAAATAATATGAAGTAGAATATGGTTATTGGTCCCGATAAATCTCCACTAAGAGAGAGTAATAGATGCAATATAGACTCCCTCATCTATATTGGGCCGAACTGAAATAATATATACACATTATTTGTTATATATGATATTCAAAACATCAAAATAATATGGGCATACCTTATGGGATTACCCTCACACCCATATTATAATCAGGTGTTTATGTCCAAAGGTACCATATTGGGTTAAGTAAAAGATAATTATAACCATATCCTCGGTTAATATGGTCCCCTTGTTATATAAATGTACTCTCCATCATTGATTAAAGCATCCATCCATACAATGGGTTATCGAACATAAAATAATGATAATCCTAGTATGCTTGTTTTAGAATACCATACTTAATAATGCTCCTTTTGCGTCCAACACAGGGGCTTGCATCTCTCAAAAGAGTGGATGCCCACTATATAGGGGCTTGCATCTCACTCGTATGAAAATATTATCGATTGTTCCCTTTCACCAATAAATTATGATTAAGCTACCTATCCTCCTAATTAATCATGGGCAATTATTAAGGAAAAATAGATAAATCAAATACCGTAATGGTAAAATAGGAGGGAAAAGGGAGTTTTAGTCATAATCTGGAGTAAACTAATCCTTATTCTAACCTCTCCCCATGGTTGTCACTACGTGTAGCCATTCCTATCTAATGGTCTAATATCGGTTATAATTGTTATTATGAGAGATTATAACTAGGTAAGGATTAGCGATTTTATTAGATAGGTTAAATAATATATTAGATTATTATGTTGTGTAATAATTTTCTCACTTTGGGGATATGGTTATCATCCATAATCTGAATTTATTAGGCTATCTTGTATTAGCCGACTTAATACTATTAACTATAATTATCCAATTAGTATGTTATGATCAGTATCTATATATAATTAAAAGAGGATAGTATTATGTGGTGTCTAATATAGAGAAGAGTGTGATATCGGGTCTTATTACGCTCATACCAACTTACCGAGTGCCAAATATATTCATCTATTGATTATCCAAGTAATAGGGATATATTTGGGTAAAATCTGTTTTATGGTCCTCTCTCTTTCCCTCTTCCAAAATATTGTGAGTCAATATTAATGATAGGGTAGTTAATATTATTTAATACTTATTTAGGGACTAGTTTGAGTAATCGATAGCCTCTAGAGGGAGAGAATGCTATAAAGAATAAAAGCTTTCGAACCTTTCTACAAGCCGTAATAATCTCTTAGAGAACTAGGCTATATATTCTAGGGATAATTATCTAGGTTATATAAAGAATGATTTAATAGAGCGATCATAATATATCTTATCAACATTTGCCATAGATACTTAATAGATATTTTTTCATTGATAGAGTGAAACTCATAGATAGTATTTTAATAGAATAAACCCCCGGATCAAATGCTTTTCTATTAAGTCCCTTTTAAAACCGCCCAATCGGGTTTTTTGTAGGAGCTAGGGGGTTTATTTTATTAAATTTGACCCCTCCTCCTCTATTGATAAAAGCATTTGTTTCAAGAGACGATCACATTAATAGTTAGGGGATTTATTCAGTCCAAACACCTAATCAATATAAAATTAAAAGGTGGAGACTTACATAAACTTCACACACATATAGAGAGGAATTTCTTATATGTGAAATAGAAACGTTTATACTTTTAGAGGGAAAGTCCCTATAGAATCAAGATGATTGGTCCCTATTATGAAAAAGATGGCTAGCCATTCTTTCATCTAAATAGTTAATATAGCCATAAAATATAATGGGTTATAGCTTACTCATAACATTTAAGGCAGTTGAGAGAGATGTTATGATATCTAAGACATTTTTCTAAAGTAGAAATTGATAGATGGTAGTCCACTTATTGCTAATGACCTCTAAATATTATACTAAGGTGGGGGGTTAATACCAATATTAACTCCCTACCTTAGTATTGTCTACCCTCAATTATTGCCAAGGGCCAATCTAAGGTTCATATATATAGGATTTCACCGTTGAAGAGAGAGAGCCCAATATATTAGTGATATGGACTTGAAAAGAGCTAACAAGTGTGATTTGGTATTCCAAATTATAGCCTTTTCTATTTAAAGTTAATATTATTGGGTGAAGTTACTCTATGGCCTTGAGGAATGTTAGGGAGAAAGGTCTAAATAGGGGCATGCTTACCAATATTGTTTAATCCCTTGGAATATATCTCGTATGCATACTAGATTGTCTCATTTAGAATCAATACCTTCTCGGTCATATAAAATTATTACTATTTGGATTTCTGATGTATTGTGAATAGAAGGCATTTTGATTCAACTTGTGCATATTTAAAGTATAATTGGTTGAATTAATTTCCATTGCATAATAAATTAAACATGCTAGAGTAGTAAATAGGAAATGATAAAGAGGAAGACATTCCACGTGGGCCATTCACTATGAGTTATCCATAATATTAGTCTTATATTTCAACAATTGGCTAGGGGTTATACCCTAATGGTCCATTTCCTCCTTTTCCGAGACGAATGGAATAAGAGATAATTTGTAATTATGATATTAAGGTTATTCATGATGAGGGAGGGCACAAGAAGCAAAATTATTCTAGTCGGTTGTTATTAATAGGATGAAAAATATATTTATAGTACCATATCGATTAACTATAATATCCTTAGTTTCTTTTTGAATGTCTCGGATGTCATAATGGTGGATAGGGCCCAATTTGGGCTATATATTCCTACCTAGGTGTCTCCCTAATGATACAACCTCTATTAGTATCTAGGTTAACCCTTATAGACCAAATGTTCTTCCCTGGACTCTAAAAATAAGATTAGCTATATCATTGTGAATCCTTTTAGATTATTAGTCCAATAGTGATGAGGAAGAGTAAGGACGATTATATTTCTAGGAGTACACTCGGCTGAGAAACGTCCTTTCTCTATTTAATATCCTCAATCCCTTATCTCTGGATTGGGAGAATTATACTAGTTATTTTTAAGCTCATTTAGGCCGATCACCTTCCTAAAGAACACAAGGGTATTAGCTAGGGACTTACACATCACTAAATAATCGTAGAAAGAAGGAATGTTTAACTTATTTTCAGCATGATTATAGAAATCAACTACCTTAGGAAGGTGCATTTGCATAATATTCAATTAGTTTACTATAATTGATTAAATAAACCAATAAGCATTGACTAATAGCTCTATATGGTTAAATTAAGTTAGGAGTGAGATAATTATTTAATACAATTGTTTAATATGTTTCATTTATAGGGCTAATAATTACTTGCTTCCCCAAAATAGTGTTCTTCAATACCTATCTCTCTTTTTCATAGTAGGGACCAATCATCTTGATTCGATAGGGACTTATATAGGACAAGATTTATGGAGAGAGATGAATAGTAACAAGTGGGTTTCCTCTCCATCTTAGTCTAATTTGGAATATAATTTTATGAAGATCTATCATTGAGAGGAAATGAATTATTGCCAACAGGGGAAGGGAGAGAAAATTAATGATACTTGAAGGTTCGCCCAATTACCTTCTATTATTAGACAAATTATACCCTCTTTGTTTCCTAATTAGCTAAGCATGGGAGGATATAATATCATCTAAAAGTTAGAGCCCCCGATAATTAGCCTAACCTCTATTTGTTATCCTTTAATTGGGCCATTATCAAGGTTATCAACATAACCATAGCTTTGTACCTAATATACGATAATATGGTATAATTGAAATCATTATTTTACCATATTATCATATATTGATGCCTCTCTAATAATATTAAAATATATTGATAATATGATATTGGGTATCTAGGCTTTTATCCAATTTCTAAATAGTGTACATATATTGGTGTAGGTCACCACTTTACTAATTTGGTGATGCCGAGGGAAAAGCAAAACTCAAATTATTGTGATAATAGCTATTATTGCATAAACACAAAGACCAAATCACTCTACCACCATAGTTCATCTTTAGATATTAAGCATCCAATTCCTAAATTAGTACATTCCTTGACAATAGATTATGGTTGAGCATGGCTAGTGAGACAATTAAGGTGGATGTTACCCAAGAATATATTCGGATAAGCCAAAGAGAATAGTTTATGGGTATATTTATAAGACATCCTAGCCGATGAACCTATATTACCCCTATTAACATGAAAGGTGATTGAGAACCTATTTTATCATCCATGCTTAAAGTAGGGGATTCCTTTTAGGGGTATATTTACACATCAATATGGACGATTTCTAAGGATATTATGAATTAACTCGTTAACTATAAATGGAGATATGGACCTATTACACATCTCATCAATTAACAGGAGTAAATTAAACCTACTGATTTACTTTGGGTAAATCGCATTAAGATGATGTATGTCATAGTTAAGGGTATACTTGAATAGCATACTATAATGGATAATCTCCATTTACTAGATTATGGTTATAATGGTCTCATAACAAGTAATAATCAAGTATAGCTTCAAAGGACCACTATAGTAACCTATTCAAGTTATTCTAAGCCCCTTTAACGGTTTATGATTAAACATCTTATGAAGAGAGGGGGATGTTCTGATTACACCAACATTAATAGTCATAGCATAATATAGTGACCCCACCTTTAACCATCATATCCGTGATAGGATGGGCATAATTCCTAAATGTAAGAAATTGGGTAACCTTTTATAATTATCCATGTCCGATGTCACCCATTTAAAATATTCATCCCCTATTTCAATTATCATATAATAATGGTGATAGGTCCTATTTATGATAACATAGGATATACCTTGTTATCATCCCAAGGTATTATACACTACTTTTCCTGGTATTTCACAAGGCCGAATATTTATGACATATATTATCTTTGTATTTAAAATTGTGACAAGGTTATCATGCTCACATAATTATCAAAGGATAATCGCCAATTAACCAACAAGATAGAAATAAGGGTAAATCTCTAATAGCATATATTATAACAAGGAGTTTTCTATACTAACACACTGACTATATTATATAAAACCGAATAACTTGACAATATTGTATTACCATGGTTAATTTGATAGTTTTGTACCATAGAGTACCCAAATTCCCTTGATACTTGCCATTAAATATATCCCTCCTTAAATAGGTTACTTTAGTAAATATTCCTATAGTATATTGGGTTATTATATGTAATCAATGGCCTTATGTTATTAATAGGAAATATATTGTATACTCCACATTGTTCATAAAAATAAATATTCCCTATATAGGGTTAGAGAGGAGGCTATCCAGAAGGAAACCAATAGATGATATATTGCACTCGGTTGATAAGGTATCAACAATCTTGAGTTAGGGATTGATTTATGGATAATGAAAGAGAGGGAGAATATATTAACCATATTATAATCGAGTGTGGGATGTGCTTTTGG